CAAGCAGGGAGCCCGATGCGGGGCTCGATCCCAGGACTCTGGGATCATGACCTGAGCTGAAGGCAGACGCTTAACCGACTGAGCCACCCAGGCGCCCTGCTAAAACATTTTGATAGTCATTGTTTATAGGAGATAAAGGTTTATAGCCAATTATTTATAGGGCTTATTCTTTTTAGAAATTAGCTTTATATTAATTTTAAAAATTACTAAATGGTATATTTGTCTTCTACCCAAATTCCCAACTTTATTTAATTCCAAGTAATGGGGGAAAAAGATTGTAAAGTAAAATAACCTGGAAGATATTCTTGTTTAAGGATATTGAAGATTAGTTCTCTCATTGAAAATACTTTCTTATAAAAAAGAAGTGGCATTCTACAAATGTCATATTCTCCCTGAGTCATCTGGATTTCTCAGGTAACCTGCCAAGATCCCAGTATGTGATGCAGTATATAAAACCATTCCAAGAAGCTTGGCAGTGAGGGAAGTGCTAGAGAAGGGAGTTAGCCGATCAGGGAGCCAGCTGGAGAAAAAGACTTGGAGCGAGCTTGTTTGTGGATATAGAAAGGAGAAGATTGGAAAAGTGAGGGGCAGTGAATGGTAATAAAGTCCTGGAGAAGCTGGTAGGGATAATAGATTTCTTCTCAAAAACAGGTATGGGGAGCATGGACCTTTTAAATAAGCAAGATTTTAAAAGTCTCAGCCTCAGTTTCCTCAGTAAAGGGAGTAATACTAACCTTAAGGGAGAGATGTGTATGTCATGGGTATGTTAAGAGCTAGCATGAATATGTCAAGCACTTAGCAGAGTCCCTGGCACCTATTTTATTTTACTAAATTTAGCTCATTGTAGTGACACTATTCTCCAATTTGTCAAGGCACCAAAAACCCCTCTGCAGAAGAGCATGGACCTTTTAGGAAAACAACTTTCCTTTTACTCCTTTGGTATAATAGGTAAGAGAAGAGTGAGTATGTGTATCTCATCTATTTACTTAGGTTTTGTGTGTGTGTGTGTGTGTGTGTGTGTGTGTGTGTGGTAAGGGGGAGTTTAGATAGCTGTGTAAATTTGTTTATTCATTTAATTAATTAATTTTTAGCTTACTACTTTTTAAAAATTATAAAACCAGCCCCCAACCATTGTCCTTTCTACAAAGATAAATTAGAACTCCATGTAATTCCTATAATCAAGGAGCATTTCTATAAACATTTTTGTATTTGTCTTTCTAGTTTTCAGCAAAATGTTAGTAATGTTTTATGGACTATTTTTCCTTTTTTTGTTTCACATTTTCTTCATAAGCATCTTGTCATTAAATAGATGCTCATTAAATTGATGTCATGAAATAGGTGGTTGTATAGTACTCCATTATGTGGGAAAAAAATATCTTAGACTTCTTGAAGACATTTCTATGTTTTTTGAATTTTTAAAATTATGTAAATGATTCTTCAGTGAGGATATCTTATTAAATTCATAAAAGTAAAATTGGGTCAAAGAGTATCCATGTAATTTTCAAATTTTTGGCATATTTTTAAAGTTTTTTATTTATATTGCCAAATAATACCCTTCAACAGCAAGACAGAGGTATTACTCTTCCAGCACCCTTGCCAACTTTGTTGTCATTAACAGACAAAAGACTTCTCATTATTTTATTTCACAGTTCATTATAGAAAAACAGCACTTTCATCATATGTGTGTTGGTCCTTTTTATTTCATGACCTGCCAATCTGTCTTATCCCTTCTTTTGTGGCTTGAGTCTTAGGCTGGTAACAGCTCTTTGTATAATTAGGATATCCATCCTTTTATTACGTTTTTTCCCTCCAATTTTTAAATTCCCTTTGAGGGATAAATATAATAAACTTGGTACAGGAGAGAGAATAATTGAAACATCTTCTGATATAATTGTCCTATTAATCTCTGCAGTTATAGTTTCTTTGTTCAATTCATAAAGGCTATCCCAACCTCATGTTGTAGAAAGTGTTTATAAGTATATCTATTTAAACATCAATCTACGGCTTTAGTTATTATTTTTGACATTTAATTTTACTATTTAGAATTTATTTTAGTATAAGACTTAAGGTAGAGTTAATAACAGTTTTACTCAAAGGTTAATTATCCCAATACCATTAATTCTGTAGTCCATTCTTTATTCACTGAGTTGAAATGACATCTTTATCATACATTAAACACTTGAATCAATTTTGGAGTCCTTGCTCATTTAATTTTTCCATGATGTTATTTTATTTTTTAATTTTTTAATGATTTTATATATTTATTTGTCAGAGAGAGAGAGAGAGAGCACACAAGCAGGGGGATCGGCAGGCAGAGGGAGAAGCAGGCTTCCCACTGAGCAGGGAGCCCAATGCGGGACTCAGTCCCAGGACCCTGTGAGCCAAAGGCAGACGCTTAACTGACTGAGCCACCCAGGTGTCCCTCCATGGTATTATTTTAATTATTCTTGTTAGCTGAAAGTTTCAAAATAATAATACAGTTTTAAGTTAAAGCAGATTTCTGCTATGCAGTTTCAGTTAAATAATTATTTAAATATTAATTCTATTGATCTCTCTGCCTTCATAGTAAAGTAGAATGTAGAAAGGTATTTCATTCCTCATTTTTAACTAGTAGGTAGTTAATTTGATTATTTGATTATTACTGTTTATTTTCTAGAATTTATAGGAATTTGATAAATCTAAGGGCATTTAGCCAATGAAATCTCCCCAGTTATATTAATGCTGTACCATGAAACCACCTCACTTTTAGTGATAAGAATCTTTCAACTTTATGATTATCTGGTTTTAATATAATGCATTAAACAATTTTTCTTGTTAGGATAGTATATGGAATAGGACAAAGGTTAAGATCAAAATCTGAGGTCAGCAGACTTTTTTTGGGGGGTGGGGTAAAGGGCCTGACAGTAAATATTTTAGCCTTTGGTCCTTACCAAAGTATTTCTAGTATTCTCTGATGGAAATGCTCACCTCTGCCATCAACAGGAAAGCATCATAGACAATATAGAAACAAATGGATGTGGCTATGTTCCAACAAACCTTATTTACAAAGGCATGCAGGAGGCTCACAGATTATAGCTTGCTGACCCCTGGTATAGTTCATTGAACATGATTTTTTTTGTTAGGATAGTATTTTGGATAGGATCTTAGAGTGTCACCATCTGGATTATTATTTTATAATTGTAGAAAGATGAAGAAAAACTTGTTTAAATGTTTATATTGAATACAATCTTGAAGTGGCTTTATTTTATTAAGTCTATAATGATACTATTTTTTCTCACAAAACCAGCGGTGCACTCCATCCCCCCCTTCATTTCAGTATATGTGCTGCCGAAGTGAGCACTCCGCCCCTTCATTTCAGAGACAAAGGTTAAAGCAGTGTATGTTGTTCGGTTTATGTTAATTGATTTTTAAAAAGATTATTTATTTATTTGACAGAGAGAGAGCACAAGTGGGGGGTGAGGTAAGCTGACATGGGGCTGGATCCCAGGACCCATGAGATCATGACCTGAGCCAAAGGCAGATGCTTAGTCGACTGAGCCACCCAGGCACCCCATATATTAATTGATTTTTTATTTGTAAATGCCATTAAAAATAGTAATTTTTAATTGTTAATGCAATTTTAGATATGTTAAGTAAGATAAATCACTCTTTGAGCCAACTCCTAATTAAGTATTCTTCTGTTTGTAGTACGAACTTTATAGTTATACATATTGCCTGGATATTTAGTTAAGGGAAGTAAAGTTCCAGGGTTTATTTTTGCAAAGCTGTTAATAAATAGAAGATCTATATGTCTTACTCTGCCTTCTTTTTTTCTCCCGTTGTATGAAAATACTGGTAATATTTTCTTATAGTGGGAATCCTCAGATATTATTGCTTTAAGGGGGGGTGGGTGGCAGCAGTGGTAACAAAAGGTAAAACTGTGTGTGTGTGTGTGGTGTGTGCATATACAGCATTGACTTTAAGCAGCATTAATTTTAATCTCCCCTGCTTAATGGATTTTTGTAAAATCATGTAATTGTGATCTGATGCACCTTCCTTTATGTCAGGGGACTTTTTGGCTGCCCTCAGCTTGTTAGTCTATCCCATCTATACTTACGTGATTATATATAAAGGGAAACATAGTTATTTGATTTTTGTTCCAGGTATCATCATGTTGGTTGGCTGGTTACTAGGAAAAGATATCCTGGAAATGTTTACTATTAGTGTAAGGTAAGTTCTAATCATTTGTTTATAAACTGAGGTCTCTTTTTCCTCTCTTATTTCTCTAATAGGCATAGGTTATATTCCATTATGGAGGTATTATATGAGCAGAAAAGAGAATAGTGTCTCTACTTAAATAGTTCAGAATTCATGTATTGAAATGAATTCTAGGAAAATGAAAACCTACATATATAGCAGAAGAAAACCTGCACCAGATGTCTGGTATTATCAGTCTAATACTGCATTTTTATATATCAATAGACAAGGATTGCCTAACTGAAAACTAGCAGCATGAAAGAGAAAGACCATAATAATAGAAATTGAATAATCAGTCTCAGAGGAAAATGAAAATTTGAAGAAATAGCAGAAAAATTTAGAAAGCATTTTAATTTTCAGAGATCTGTGAAGAAACTGCATTCATGATAAACATTACTTAGAAGGATCAGAGGACAAAAAGAGTTTTTAGAAATTATGATTTTAACTGCTAAAATTAAAAATTCAGTATAAGGGCTGTAATGTAAAGTCAAAGAGGGATCCCCCAAAAATCAGGTAAAATGTCCAAAACAGAGAATGAAATAAAAGTGACAAAGAGAATAATTTAATAAATGCCATATCTACCCAATAGGAGTTTCAAAAATGAGAGAAGAAGAAATTACATAAGAAATGATGGAGTATTTTCTCAATCTGAATCAAGACATGAAATTTTTATAGTTTGTGTGGATTCTCTAAATGCCAAACAGGATGAAAAGAACTCCCAACCTGGATACATCATTATTAAATTAAAGAAAACAAGTTAGGTCATCTATAAAGGAAGGATAATTACACTGGTATCACATTTCTTGTTAGCAACTGCAGTTTCCACCATGGATTTTTTTTTATTTTTGAAAGATTTTATTTGAGAGAGAGAGGTAGGAGAGAGAGCATTGGGGGGCGGGGGTGGAGGGGGACAGAGAAGCAGACTCCCCGCTGAGCAGGGAGCCTGATGGGGGCTCGATCCCAGGACCCCGGGATTATGACCTGAGCTGAAGGCAGACACTTAACTTACTAAGCCACCGAGGTGCCCCCCATGGGGTCTTTTTAGACTCTTCTAAACATTTCAACTGACAAAACTTTAATAGGTCACAATTGGTACCTGTGCTCTGAAAAGTGGGGCAACTTAAGGCACCCATCTTCTGAGAGAGTCTGTGCAGCAGTTCAGCTTCAGGTACAAGGAGATTGGGATGACCTTGTGAGTTGGGGAGCTGCCCTGGGTTAAAATGGTTCATACTTTGTGAGGGCCAACATCTCTGGAAGCATACTTTCCAGGGTGCTTGCAAGAGACATGTCCAGTTATAAGAGTCACCTACACTTAGAAAACCCAAAGTGATGGCTTCCTGTAAGATAATTAAAATTCTTCTAGTCCATCGATGGTTTATCAGTCAGGAGATCCCTTTATCATAAGCAGTGTTGCCTAGCAACATAGTTGACTTAACTACCCTAACCAGGTCACTAGAGGAACAGAGCTAGAGATTTAACCAAATGCAGAACGGGAAAAGGATTTTATTAACCATTCCTCCACAGTAGCATTGGATTACATTAGAGAACAGTGGGGCAGTGCTATCAAAGTATGAGGGGAAAGGATTTTAAATCTATAAATCTAGGCAGAGACAACGTATCGATCCAGTTAATTACAAATAGATAGGTAAGTAATCAGAAAATTTATTCCTTCCCTGTCCTGTATGAATTATAGTAAAACAAGGATGAAAAAAAGGAAGATGATATATGGGATATAAGTAAGAGTAGAACTCACCTAGGCATCTAAGGAAAATAAATATTGGATAACAGCTCTATCGTAGGCCTAGGAAGTAATATTTCAAATGTTAGAGCAAAAACAGTGAATTAAAAAAGAAATCAAATGGGTTACAAGGAATAGGTAGGTTGAATAAGAGGTTAAAAGATATTTGTGATAGGGTGAAGGAGTATATTTTTTTCTTTAAAGGAGCAAAAATACAATTTGAAACTCTTGGCTTCAATCTGTATAAAAAAGACTTCGGTGAAATACGAAATAAGTTTAAAATGAGGCATGAGTGTGAGATACTAAATCTTAGCATATTATCCATTGGACTTATTTTTAGATTTTGAGGGTTTTTTTTGAGCAGTTCAATTTTATAGATTGACATTTTGATTTCTGCTTCAAGGTCTTACAAAGGACAAAGCATTAAAAAATATTTAATAGAATAAAACTCATTCTATTTTGCAATTATTATATGGGTCCATTGTCCTTTTATAAATTTAAGTAAGATATATTATGGGATCTTTTGTGATCTTATTTTTCCTGTGTCTTGAAGCATTATATTATTTCATTACCCTAGCAATTATTTTATTTTATTTATTTTATTTTTTAAAAAGATTTTTATTTATTTATTTGACAGAGAGAGACACAGCGAGAGAGGGAACACAAGCAGGGGGAGTGGGAGAGGGA